TACAGGGGCAGCATATCATCCCGCCCACAGATCGCGAGACAGAGCAGCAGTGTCTCGGTTCCTAAGACCATCGGAAATATGTGTTTTTCCGATGGTCTTAGGCGACCCCTGGGAAATGGTCGTTCGACCCCCAAAGGGGTCGCGACCCCCAGGTTGAGAACCGCTGCCTTAAAGTGACGCAGTGCCGTAATGCAAAAAAATGGCCTGGTTAGGAGGGGGGGGGGGGAATCCTCTGGAGGGCAAGTGGTTAAGTAACACCCTTTTATAATCAACTGTCTGTCCTGTTTAATGAATAATTAGACTCACTTGTAGTTGAATTCTTGTTAATTAGAATATTGTTGTCTAAAATATAGCTTTGCTTCTAATGCCCCGTACACACTATAAGAAAATCGCACGAACGTACTCGTTCGACGAGCAATCGTGCAATTTTCTGACGGTGTGTACATCATTTTCCACAGCTGATTCCGATCTTACGAACGAAATTAACGACAGTCCAAACATCAAAATTTTTGTTGTTTGGGAACAGAACGAACGATTTTCATTTAATGTGTACAGTTTTCGTACGAGAAGAACTGGATATGAAAGTATAATCGGAAGCTGCTTATGACCCAGAAGAACCTGAAGAAAATAAACACCACAGAATATTTGTAGCATTACAGCCATTGATGTCATTAAACAGTTCGGATACAGTATCCATGACTATTCCGAAAATTCGTCACGAAAGATCCGTCGCTGAGGGAAAACAAATATGGCACCGAAAGGTGTGGCTACAGGGTCACACGTACATGACATCATTTCCACAGCTACACTACGACGTTCGTACGCAATGCCTTTATATCGTACAATATTCACATGCATGAAAGCACATCGCTTTCGACCAGCGGCGTACACTTGATGATAACCGGATGATCATTCATCCGATTTTCTTATAGTGTGTACGGGGCGTAAGACTTTCATTGGGGTGTGTTCATTTTTGCAACATGGTCTTGATTTAATTTGTTAGGAAAAATACTTTATGTGTGAAAATGAACAAATCTTGTTTGCAATCAATGGCCCGCATTTGTGGGAGTATTTTGTAGTATAGTGTACCCATAGAAAATGTGGATTCTGAAAGGAAAGGTTTTCTGACAAATCTGTTGGGGTGTACTCATTTATGCTGAGCGCTCTTTTTTTTTTTTTTTTATTAAGATTCTTTACACTGGAGAACCACACGTGCCTCTTTCAGGTTCTTACTGCAGTCTGTGGCTGTGTTGGGAATATTTCTCCTCACTTCCTATCTCATTGACACAACAGTAACGAAATCCCCTCAAGGAGGACACCAACGGCAACAAAAAGGGAACCGAGGTGTAATTCTTCCTTTCTCAAGTGATAAAAGTGCTCCCTTTTACCCTTGCTGTATTCTTAACCACCTCCCGTCCGGCCCATGTATATAAACAGCCAGACGGGAGCAGTGTAGGAGCGGATGGCTGTTTATAAACGTCCTCCCCGCTTCCCTGCCTCTGCGTGCTCCCTAGGAGCACACGGCACCGCAATCCCGTGCCTGCTGTGTCCTCCGGACACAGTGGAACACCGGATCGCTGTACGGGACCTCTGTATGAGGTCCCGATCATGTGATCACTGATTGGCCAATCCGTGATCACATGAATAGCAGTAAGCAAGATGTCACTTCCTGACATCATTGCTTACTACGTGTGAAATCTGTGAATGATCACAAGATCACATGATACAGGGCTATTCACAACAGCCTTGTACCATGTGACAAGCTGTGACCAATCACAGCTCACTCAGTATTTCTCAATGGCTGCAAGAATGCAGTTGGAGAGAAGGAGAAAATAATTGCTTTTACAGCCTTTATGGGCGTAAAAGCAATCAGTGTAAAAAAAAAAAATCTTCATCACCCCCCACAAGTAGTACAGTGTCACTATGGTGACACTGTACTGCTAGGGTGACAGTATGTAAAAAAATAAAATAAATATTAAAAAAATAAAAATGTCCAAAAACTGTTTGAAAAATTATAATTTTGGGTTATAAACTAATTTGGGGTTTTTTTTTTTACTAAAAAGATAGCTGAATACATTTTGGCCAAGATTTATGAAGAAAGATTATTTATTTGCAACATTTTATAAGAAAAAAAAACACTTTTTTTTTTCAAATATTTGGACTTTTTCATTTATATAGCAAAGTAATAAAAATCCCAGTGGTGAATAAATACCACCAAAATAAAGCTTTATCTGTCTCAATAAAATGCTAAAAAAAATTCATACGGGTACAGTGTTGCACGACCGCGCAATTGTCATTCAAAGTGATATAGCGCTGAAAGCTGAAAATTGGCCTGGACAGAATGCACTGAAAAGTGGTAAATTATGAACTATTTCAGACTGTTTCGGAGAAATACAGAGAGTAGAAGCAGAGACAGCAGTATGTGTTGAGATTAGCTTAGATGTGAGTTGCTCATTAACATTTCTTTTGTTTCCAAAAAGCAATCAGTGTAAAAAAAAAAAAAAATCTTCATCACCCCTCACAAGTAGTGACAGTGACAGTATGTGGGGAAAAAAACCCCCAAAAAACATAAATATAAAAAATAAAATAAAAATGTAAAAAACAAAAGTTTAAAAATTATAGTTTTTGGTTATAAACTAATTTGGGTTATTTTTTTTTATATACTAAAAAGATAACTGAATACATTTTGGCCAATATTTATGATGAAATACTATTTATTTGCAAAATTTATAAGAAAAACACTTTTTTGCTAAATGTTTTGACTTTTTCATTTATATAGCAAAAAAAAAAAATCCCAGTGGTGGATAAATACCAAAATAAAGCTCTGTCTCAAAAACAATGCTAAAAAATTCATATGGGTACAGTGTTGCATGATCGCGCAATTGTCATTCAAAGTGTGATAGCGCTGAAAGCTGAAATTTGGCTTGGACAGGAAGGGGGTGAGTGTCCGGACAGGAAGTGGCTAATGTAGAAAAAATCCTTCTCGTTTCTTTGTCCCAGTTAGGGCTCATGTACCGGGGCGTTTGGAAAACTCTTCTGAACGATGGAAACTGACTGCTGGAAAACGTAGGTTAAAAAACGTCAGTTTAGCCGCGTTTGCATACTGTTTTTATGCGCGTTTGGAAGCTTTTTTTTAAAGATAAGCACAGGAGAACCTCCCAAATGCCCAGAATGCACTGAAAAGTGGTCAATTATGAACTATTTCAGATTGTTTCAGAGAAATACAGAGAGTAGAAGCAGAGACAGCAGTATGTGTTGAGATAATTAGGTGTGAGTTGCTCATTACCATTTCTTTTGTTTCTAAGGGTGGAAAAGGTGTCTGCTGGAGGGAGTCATTAAGGTCACCTGGCAGGGGGTCTTCATGAGGAATCTGAGGTGTGAATGGTCATTGACATATCTTTTGTTTCCAAGGGTGGGAGAGGTCTGAGGTGTGAATGGTCATTGACATATCTTTTGTTTCCAAGGGTGGGAGGGTCTAAGGTGTGAATGGTCATTGACATATCTTTTGTTTCCAAGGCTGGGAGAGGTCTGAGGTGTGAATAGGTCATTGACATATCTTTTGTTTCCAAGGGTGGGTGGAATGAGGTCTAAGGTGTGAATGGTCATTGACATATCTTTTGTTTCCAAGGGTGGGAGAGGTCTGAGGTTGAATGGTCATTGACATATCTTTTGTTTCCAAGGGTGGGAGAGGTCTGAGAGTGTCATGAGGTGTGAAGGGTGGGAGAGGTGAATGGTCATTGACATATCTTTTGTTTCCAAGGGTGGGAGAGGTCTGAGGTGTGAATGGTCATTGACATATCTTTTGTTTCCAAGGGTGGGAGAGGTATGAGGTGTGAATTGGTCATAGACATATCTTTTGTTTCCAAGGGTGGGAGAGGTCTGAGGTGTGAATTGGTCATTGACATATCTTTTGTTTCCAAGGGTGGGAGAGGTCTGTGTGAATTGGTCATTACAATGTGTGACAAGCTTGGTAGGAACATCCTGTGTTCAGTGTTTTGTCCATCTGAGTACCTTGAAAACACTTTGCATGCATTTTTCATGATGAAAAAAGGCTCTGGGCAGCATCGGGAACTGAAAGAGTAACCAAAAAAATTTCAGCCGCAAACACTTATAAACGTGATTTACCGCGTTTACAACGGCGATAAAATTGACTGCTGAATGCAAGTTTTCTATGTTCAAAAAAATGACTGTAAAGGACGATGTGTACACATAGGAGTTCAGGGGCTGCTGAAAAAAACGCTGAACAGCTCCTAAAGGTGAGTTTATCATCTGCAGTGTACATGGGCCAGGGGCGGACTGACAACTCATGGGGCCCTCGGGCAATAGGGGATCATGGGGCCCCTGTGTCCTTGCCCACACTCAAATCACACCCAAAAGAAGCCTATAAAAAGGTAACAGGGGCATTTCATGGGGCCCCTTACTGACCCCGGGCCCTCGGGTGGTGCCCGAGTTCCCAAGTGGTCAGTCCGCCTCTGACATGCGCCCACTCCCAGCAAACAGGGGAGAATGGTTCCCTGAACCATAAAGAGCCTTGTGACTCCTCTCAGCTCCCCTCTCTGAAGCTCTCCTACAGAAATCTAGAGGTGGATAGAAGAGAGATAGAACCAGATTGCAGTCACAGGCTGAATTCAGTCCTTTACCTCACAGCTGCCTCCTAGGTCCCCTCAGCTTCCTCAGTTCTAGTTTGGCGCCCAGCCGACGTCACTTCCGGGAGCTGTCCCCGTCGCCATGGCAATGGGGCCTTATTGACGCCACCGTCTTTCTCTTTCTATGCCCCTCTCCGTTTCAGATATCCGTCACTGAGGGGTCCCGGACGGAGATTTACCGGAAAAGTAGAGCTGGACGGAGAGCCAGTCCGCGGCAGTAGCATCGATAAGCTCCGGACTCCATTCATTAGGTCTGAGGCCGGAGGCCCTGCCCCCCGGAAGTAGTGACTGTGTGAGTCACACGTGGGTGCTGCTAGGAAGCCGGAGGAAGAGATCGGGCTGTCAGTGGGCGGCATGGCGGAGGGTGTCCCGCTTATCCAGGAGGGGGACCATGTGGTGCTGAAGAAGGAGGACGTGTACAAGGCGGTGCAGGTGCAGAGGAGGAAGTGAGTGTCTATGAATGGCTTATGGTTTCTCACTTCATTCACATATAAACATGGAGCTGCAGGGAAAGAGTGTCGTCTTAGTTTGGATAGTAAGGCAGGTTTATAACTCCTCTCGGGTTTGTTTTGCTATCTGTGACCCGTTGGGGAGATTTCCCTTCACTTCCTGTGCCAGAACAGGCAGTCACCTAGTGTCCCATTGGAACATTTCCCCTCAGTTCCTGTACTGGTGACAACCCAACACTTGGGATTCTGTCTCACTTTCAATGATGGCGGTGAACAGGACAAACAGAGAGGGTGAATCTCTTTACTGGGGAAAACAGACAGCAATACAAACCTGACGGGGGTTCTAATCCATGTGCTCTCTATTCAAAACTGGAAAAGAGGGTTTGCCTTTAGTTATACTTTAACCACTTGCTGTCCGGACATTTTTACCCCCTTCCTGTCCAGGGCAATTTTCAGCTTTCAGCGCTATGACACTTTGAATGACAATTGCGCGGTCATGCAACACTGTACCCATATGAATTTTTTACCATTTTTTGAGACAGATAAAACTTTATTTTAGTGGTATTTATTCACCGCTGGGATTTTTTTTTTTTTTGCTATGTAAATGAAAAAGTCAAAAAATTTTGAAAAAAGTGTTTTTTCTTATAAAATTTTGCAAATAAATAATATTTCATCATAAATCTTGGCCAAAATGTATTCCGTTATCTTTTTTTAAAAAAAAAAAAAAAAAATAAGCCAAATTAGTTTATAACCAAAAATTATAATTTTTGAACTTTTTTTACATTTTTATTTTTTTTATTTTATATTAATGTTTTTTTTTTTTTTTTTTTTTTTCACATACTGTCACCCTAGCAGTACACTGTCACCATGGTGACACTGTACTACTTGTGAGGGGTGATGATTTTTTTTTTTTTTTTACAGTGATTGCTTTTACACCCATAAAGGATGTATAAGCAATTATTTCTCTTTCTCTCTGTCTCCATTCTTGCAGCCATTGAGAAATACTGAGTGAGCTGTGATTGGTCACAGCTTGTCACATGGTACAAGGCTGTTGTGAATGTACAATGTGACCTCTGTGATCATTCTCAGATTTCACACGTAGTAAGCAATGATGTCACAAGTGACATCTTGCTTACTACTTTGCATGTGATCACTGATTGACCTATCAGTGATCACATGATTGGGACCTCGCACAGAGGTCCCGTACGACGATCAGTGTTTCACTGTGTCCGGAGGACACAGCGGGCACCGGATCGCGGTGCTGCGCGGTCCCAGGGAGCGCGCACAGCTAGAAATGGCGGGTGCCGTTTATGAACGGCATCCCGCCCCTGGAGTGCCACCGTCCTGCCGTTTATAAACAGCAGGCAGACGGCAAGTGATTAACTGGTTCCTGACCTATTGTACAATGACAGCCAGACGGGACGTCACATGACGTCCTCCCAGTCTTGCTGCCTCATGATCGCTGGTGAGCTGAGTCCCTTGGGCACAACATATCACTGATCAGGGTACAGAGCCAATGACACTGGCTCTTTACCATGTGCTCAGCTGTGTCCAATCACAGCTGATCGTAAACAAATGTTGGTTATCAGCATTTTCTTTCCTCAGCGCTGTCACTGTCTAAGGAAAGGTAAAAGCTGGCTTTTCTGTGATATCGAACAAAAAAAATCAGGGAACTGATCATCAGCGCCGCCTCACCAGTGTAGCCCCATCGGCGCCCATAAGCGCAGCCTCATCAGCGCAGCCCCATCAGCGCCCGTCAGTGCAGCCTCATCAGCGCCCATAAGCGCAGCCCCATCAGTGCAGCCTCATCAGCACCCATCAACGCCCATAAGCGCAGCCCCATCAGTGCAGCCTCATCAGCACCCGTCAGCGCAGCCTCATCAGCGCCCATAAGCGCAGCCCCATCAGCGCAGCCTCATCAGCGCCCATCAGCGCAGCCTCATCAGCACCCATCAGCGCAGCCTCATCAGTGAAGAACGAAAATGTCTCGGTAAAGAAAGTGAAGAAATGCAGCACAACAATAAATAATTATAATAGTGCTTACAACCTTATATGTGCGTGTAGAAATGGTGACAATATGCTGATGAGAATCCATATATGCTACCTATAATCTCTTCCAATGCGTACATATAAACTCCCATAGATACTGCACATAAACAGTTCTATAAATACAACATAACATAGTGCACAAAAATAACAAATACTCCTTTATAGTGATCTGTCCCTTTAAATCCGTAATCTCATCACGTGGGCCAGTGTAGTTACACTTCCTGTATATCGTGATACAAATACGCCAACAAAAGTGCCAGCTGAATACAATCTGAATAGTGATGGACCATCCCTTTAAATACGCTGTACTTCAAGTGGACCAGTGTTGTCACACTACTGCATACACGTGTAGGGTGCTCCTGTGTCACCCCTTAGTGCTCTTCCACCTCCAACACATTGGTGCGCTCACCTCCAGGTTTGACCCATAACGACAGGTCAAACGTACTTTTCCCTTTAACCCGGGAGGGTATAGTGGTACACAGATCTTCCCACTCTTTGGCAGCACCTTTAAGCAGATCCAGATCACTCCGTATAAATGTAAAAAAATGCTCAATATAGTGTAGAATTTCTGCTAAAATCAGCCTTTATTAAAATAATATATGTTCAACTCACATTAAAATGTGTCCTCCTGGGACACTACAGGGTTAAAAACTCACTATACAGAGTATTCTGCCAAGTGTGTTGAACTCCCTCTTTCAAAATGGCGGCACGTGGACTTCCGGTTAATGGCTTGACGTCTTCGGCGTACCCTACGCGTTACGTCACATCACGTGACTTCATCAGGCATCTAATATTGCTTTGTTATATGTGGGAACACATTATATGCTAGCTGAACACTTATTTAGGAGGTTTCATTGCGCTGAAGGTTTTCTATACATATAAGAAAACATTTTTATTTGCAAAATTTTATATCAGAAACGAAGAAAACTTTTTTTTTTTTTTTTTTTTTTTTTTTTTTTTTTTAGTATTTTTGGACTTTTTTGGTTTGTTTAGCAAAAAATACAAACCCAAGTGGTGAATAAATACCACCAAACGAAAGCTCTATCTGTCTAAAAAAAAAAAAAAAATGATACAAATTGAATCTGGGTACAGTGTTGCATGACCGCGCAATTATCATTCAAAGTGCGGCAGCACTTATTTTAAATAGAGTAAAGCGGCCTGTGTGCGCTGGATCATGTATCTGTTACGTGATCTGGCTCTTTCGGGAAGGGGGTGCGCCGCCCTGGCTGTGCTTTGATGAGTTGCAGCACAAGCCGATCAGCGGGTCCCAGCCAATGATTGATGGCCTGGACTCGCCAATCAGTGAAGCGGATGACAGGACAGAACTCTGTGAATGTAAATAACACAGAGGTCTGTCTTGACAGCGAGTATGAACGGGTTCTTGTTTCCCTGCAAAGTAGGGAATGAAAAACAGCATATCCCTTGGTAATATCAGTACACAGTGACTGAACCAAGCATTGGTAGGCACACAGTTAACCCTTTGATTGCCCCTAGATGTTAACTCCTTCGTTAGTTCAGTGGTCATTAGTACGGTGACAGTGTATAGGATTATCACTGCATTAATGTCACTGTTGATGTTGGTGTCAGATTGCCTGCTGCACTATCCGGGTCCTGCAATAAGTCGCTGATCACCACCATTACTAGTATAAAAAACAAATAGACGTCCCAATATATATCCCATAGTTTAGACGCTGTAACTTTAACGCGAACCAATTTAAAATACACACTAGGGGGGAGGGGGGGGGGGGGGTTATGAGACCTGTAACACAATACACTTTAGCAGAAATGTATGAAGAAATTAGATTTATATATATTTTTTTTATTGGATATGTTTTATTCAGAAAGTAGAAAATGTGTTGTTTTTTGCTTTTTAATTTTGGTCTTTTTTTGTTTAATTAAAACGAACGAACAAAAAACAGTGGTGGTCAAATACCACCAAAAGAAAACTGTGTGAAAAAAATGATATAAATTTTGTTTGGGTACAGTGTTGCATGACCGCTCAATTGTCAAAGTAGTACAGTGCTGAAAAGCAAAAAAATGCCCTGTTCATGAATGGAGTAAAACCTTCCAGTGGGTGGTTAGGGAGGGTTATAACCCCTGTCAGTTTTTTTTTTTTTTTTTTTTTTTTTTTTCTTGCCATCTGTGTCCCATTGGGGAGATTTCCCTTTGTTTTCTGTCCCATAGTCACAGGAAGTGAGAAGAAATCCCTGCAAATTAAGGGAATCCCTTGAGGCCCCCCAGGTCACCAGAACTAGTCTCCATTAGAAGATTTTGCCTCTATTACTGTTCTTGTGACAACCCCAAATTGATGATTTTCTTTCAGTGACAACAGTAAACAGAACAAATAGAGAGGATGAGTCTCCTTAACAAGGACACAGACAGCAATAAAACCTGACAGGGGTTCTATTCCCTCTCCACTCTTTCCAAAACTAGTGAAAAGTTTTGCCTGTAGTTATAGTTTTAATGCCAAAAGGTGGAGCAACTTCCAGATCACCTGACTGGCACTTAGAGCGATCACATGATCAAGCAGGTTCCCAATCAGAAGCCACGACCGAGAGCTGTCATGCTCTCAGCACACAACCTCAGACTATCATGGACACGTGCAGCAGATGGGTGGTATTGCCCACTTTTTCTGCTACTGCCATGGAAGGAAGAAGGTGAAATAAAGGCCATCTGTGTCCCATTGGGGAAATTTCCCTTCACTTCCTGTCCTTTAGCCAAAACAGGAAGTGAACGGAAATCCCTGCAAAGTGAGGGAATACCTGAACTAGTGTCTCCTTTTGGAGGATTGCTCCTCTATTCCTGTTCTGGTGACAACCCAACATTTGGATTTTACGTTCATTCTGTTATGATGCTCACCAGTATAGAGAGGGGGAGATTTACTAAAACTGGAGAGTGCAAAATCTAGTACAGTAAAGGGAGACCTCCAGCTAGGAGGATGGCAGCAAGTTGCGGGCCAGTGAAGCAGCCAGTCAGACCGATCTGTGTCTGATCAGCTGCATTGGAGCTCAGAGAGACCCCAGATCTCTCCCTAAAGAGTACCTGTCACTGCTCTTGCTGTCACAAGTGATGTTTACATTCCTTGTGAACGCAATAAAAGTGATCACATTTTTTTTTTTTCTTTTTTAAACCACCTCCCGCCCGCCATATAAGAAAATGATGGGCGCAAGGCGGTTCTCTCGTTCTGGGAGGACGTCATATGACATCTTCCCATTCTAACTGCGCATGTGTGGCGATCGGCGGTGCGCTGTGTGCCTCGGACATAGCGGATCACCGATCAAAGGAAAGAGCCGAAGATTTCGGCTCGGTCATGTGATCAGCTGTGTCCAATCACAGCTGATCACATGTAAATCGGGAAATGCCGGTTATCAGCATTTCTCTCCTCACGAGCTGTCACGCTGACAGAAGAGAGGAGAGCCGGTAATCGGCATTCCTCGGTGGGGACACATCTACACTTATCATCAGGGCACTGATAATCAGTGTGCCCTGATGATCAGTGTAGCCCCAGCAGTGCCACCTGTCAGTGTCCATCAATGCCAGCTGCCAGTCAGTGCCAACTATCAGTGCTGCCAGTCAGTGCCGCCTATTAATGCCCGTCAGTGATGCCTGTCAGTGCCACCTATCAGTGCCATATGTGAGTGCTTCCTTTCAGTGCCCATCAGTGATGCTTGTCAATGCCCATCAGTGCCACCTACCAGTGTTTTTTTTTCTACATTGCCACCTATCAGTGCCCATCACTGCAGCCTCATTAGCGTACATCAGTGAAGGAGAAAAATCACTTATTTACAAAATTTTAAAACAAAAACTAAAAAAACTTTTTTTTTTTCTTCAAAATTTGCAGTTGTTTTTGGTTTGTTTAGCAAAAAAAAAAAAAAAAACCCAGAGGTGATTAAATACCACCAAAAGAAAGCTCTATCTGTCTCAAAAAAATGATAAAAATTTCATATGGGTACAGTGTTGCATGACCGTGCAATAGTCATTCAAAGTGTGACAGCGCTGAAAGCTGGAAATTGGCCTGGGCAGGAAGGGGGTATAAGTGCCCTGTAGGTGAGTGGTTAAAAAAAAACAGTGTAAAAATTAAATATGAAAAAAAAAATTAAAGTGCCCCATCCCCCAGCACTAACCCGCATTGGCGTACGCACGGTTCAGTTCCACACGCATATGTAAACTGTGATCGCAGCACACGTGTGAGGTATCACTGCGAACATCAGAGCGAGAGCAATAATTCTAGCAGCGGACCTCCTGTGTAAATCTAAGCTAGTAACCTGTAAAGGCCTTTAAAGCATCGCCTATGGATAATTTAAAGTACCGTAGTTTGTCGCCATTCCGTGCGCAGTTGTAAAGCGTGGCATGTTTGGTGTCTCTTTACTCCGTGTAACATCACCTTTTATATTTTATGGGGAAAAAAATAGAATTATATTGTGTTTGTGTTCACTTAAATTCATTAATGTGTATTTTTTTTGCAAAGAAATTGCATTTAAGAAAACGCTACGCAAATACTGTGTGACATAAATAATTGCAACAGCCATCATTTTATTCCCGAGGGCCGCTGCTTAAAAAAAATATATCACGGAAAATCGAAAAAGAATTCTCCTGCGCTCCAGGACTCAGACAGGTGGCACAAGATGGAACCGGGCCTGGGGAGAACGACCACCACTGCATAAAGGGCTGTGCAGCTCCAAACCAAGGCTGGGGAAGCCCAATCAGCACTGCAAAATGAAATGGAAAACAAGAAGCGCACCAGCCTTGCGCATTACCTCAATAACCAAAATTTATTGCTTGTAAAAAAAACATACTCACAAACAGCGAATAAAATCAGGCATGTAAGTCCTCTCAGGGACTTGAAGATAACATGAGTCCCATCAGGGAAATGGGTGTTCAGTACAGCTGACGCGTTTCGAAGGGGATCCCTTCTTCCTCAGCGCAAGGCTGGTGCGCTTCTTGTTTTCCATTTCATTTTGCAGTAAAAAAAATATATGTTTGGGGGTTCTAAGTAATTTTCTAGCAAAAAAAAAAAGAGAAATTGTACATGTAGGAGAGAAGTGTCGGAATAGGCTTCGGAAGCAAGTGGTTGAAAAGCGATAGGACCATTTGTTGTGTGTGTTTTAGTGTTTTATTTTAGTGTTTTTGTTTTTTTTTCTACATTTCTTCAGTGTTTTCCTGGTTTCTGGCTTAGGCCAAAATGATGTTCTGCTTCCCAGGAGTCTTCATGGGCATTTTTGTTTTTTTTTTTTTTCTGGAGGAGGGGTTTTCTCAGCTAAGAACACCTTCCGGCCTACATGCCTGAGCTAAGGGCAGATGGATTTCAGGAAGTAAATGCTACATGAATCATCTGCCCTTACTCAAGATGGCCATGGCTAGATAAGGTACCACTTCCTCAAGTCTTATCTAGGTGAGAATGGCAACCGCTTGGGCCTGACCATGCACCACACCTGCAGCCTCCTGGGGCACTGCAGATATCCCAGAAGATTGCACGACTAGTGCCACATTGCTGCATGATCTGACGCAGGCTCAGTGGGGAGCCTTCTGTGTTCCTGAAGAAGTCATAGCTGGTTCCCAAATCCAAGATGGAGTCACTGGAGACTCATTTTGGTGAGAAGAACAGACTGCAGGAATACAGCACTAGATTCTAGCACTGATAAGTACCTGATCTATTTTTTTTTTATGTCATAACATAATTTGCAGCTACTGGCTTTATTTATTTAAAAGGACAGAAGTTCCCCTTTAAGGTAATGCATTTATACAGAAGGAGTCAGTCTGGTGTATGCCATGTACAGCACAATGTAGGACGAGGACACCCCACCATTCACCCAAATGCACTAAGCACACCCCAATCCTTTTAAAGTGGAACTACACTGCTTCTGAGAACCGCTAACCAAAAAAATACACGGCTCAAAACAATTAAAGGAAAACTTTGAAAACCCATCAAATCTCAATGGGGAAAAATCTCCTGCTGGATCTCTATACTGATGTGGACGGGGTAATGTGTTAGGAACGTAAGGACGCCCCATCGTTTGATGGAAATGATCGACCTACAGAGGACTGAATTCAAAGACACCCCGAACATCAAAGTGAGAAACTGATGCAGCAGGCGAGTCCATTGTGCTGAAATGTCTTTGCAGCAACTCAGAATGGTCCTCAGTAGTTTGTATGGCCCCCATGTGCTTGTATGCATGCCTGACAACGTCGGGGGAGGTTCCTAATGAGACGACAGATGGTGTCCTGGGGTATTTCTTTCCAGGTCTGGCCCAGGGCATCACTGGGTTCCTGGACAGTTTGAGGTGCAACCTGGCGGCATCGGATGGACTAAAACATGACATCCCAGAAGTGTTCTATTGGATTTAGGTCAGGCGAGCGTGGGGGCCATTCAATGGTATCAATTCCTTCATCCTCCAGGAACTGCCTGCATACTCTCACCACATGAGGCCGGGCATTGTTGTGCACTAGGAGGAACCCAGAACCCACTGCACCAGTGTAGGATCTGACAATGGGTCCAAGAATTTCATCCCGATACCTAATGGCAGTCAGGGCTGTAGAGGTCTGTGCGCCCCTCCATGGATATGCCTCCCCAGACCATCACTGACCCACCACCAAAACAGTCATGCTGAACCATGTTACAGGCAGAAGAACGTTCTCCACGGCTTCTCCAGACCCTTTCATGTCTGTCACATGTGCTCAGGGTGAACCTGCTCTCATCAGTGAATATCACAGGGCGCCAGTGGTGGACCTGCCTATTCTAGTGTTCAATGGCAAATGCCAATCGAGCTCTATGGTGCCGGGCAGTAAGCACAGGGGCCACTAGAGGATGTCGGGCCCTCAGGCCACCCTCTTGAAGTCTGTTTGATTGTTTCGTCAGAGACATTCCCACCAGTGGCCTGCTGGAGGTCATTTTGTAGGGCTCTGGCAGTGCTCATCCTGTTCCTCCTTGCACAAAGAAGCAGATACCGGTCCTGCTGATGGGCTAAGCACCTTCTATGGCCCTGTCCAGCTCTCCTGGAATCTCCTCCATGCTCTTGAGACTGTGCTGGGAGACACAGCAAACCTTCTGGCAGTATCACGTATTGATGTGCCATCCTGGAGGAATGGGGCTGCCTGTGCAACCTCTGTAGGGTCCAGGTATAGCCTCATGTTACAGTAGTGACACTGACCCTAGCCAAACGCAAAACTACTGAACAACAGTCAGAAAAGATGAGTAGGGGAAAAAAAAATGTCAGTGGCCTCCACCTGTAAAACCTCTCCTGTTTTGGGGGTCGTCTCATTGTTGCCCATCTAGTGCACCTGTTGTTAATTTCATTAACACCAAAGCAGCTGAAACTGATGAACAACCCCCTCTGCTACTTCACTGACCAGATCAATATCCCAGGAGTTTCATTGACATGATGCTAGACTCTGATTATAAAGTGTTTCTTTCATTTTTTTGAGCCGTGTACTATTGCATTCATTTTTAATATTCAAAGCAAACTCCCCCATCCTTCCATGTCTCCAAGATTTATTTTGCTTAGTTATCACTTTGAAACACCCCCTCCCCCTTTCCCTAGCATTTATGGCTGTGGCCATCTTGAGTAAGGGCAGATAATTCATGTAGCTTTTACTTCCTGGAATCCATCTGCCCTTAGCTCAGGTATGCAGGCAGGTACTTAATTGAGAAAACCCCTTCTTGAAGATTCTTGGGATGTATGACATCATTTGGTCTAGGTCAGAAACCAGGCAGTAACTAAAGAAATATTTATTTCGGGTACTTGTATAGCGCCGTCAATTTACGCAGCGCTTTACATATATATTGTACATTCACATCAGTCCCTAACCCTCAAGGGGTGTAAAATATAAAGAAAAAGCTTAAAAATGGTAATTAAAATATACCTTCCTCTGTATTTACTAATGCCAGCAGAATTAAAAATAGACATTGATAGCGAAATTTTAGTTCGTCTTTAATCTCCCTTTTTTTTTTATGTGTGGCACAGACTGGTTGGGGTTTCCAGGTAGGCATATTAATGGCTAATTAAGTAGAGAAGCCAGGCATTGCACTGATCTTCATCTTTCCAAGTTTATATCTGCAGAGCTGTCGCCTGAAGGCAAAAACCAATTTTAAATGGATGATGTCATTGCCGAATCTGCCATGAGAGCCGCATTTTCTGTGAGCCTCCTCCACATGACATCTGCTTGATAACGACCTACGTCTCCATTTATTAGAGTAAAAACCGATCTGTGCCGCGTTATTGGGTCACATTCCAGTTATAGCGCCTGAAGGGGAGGCTGTGATTTTTATGCCTTGTTCTATTAAAAGGAATCTGGACTATGGCAGAATGCGTCTGTGACAATCCGGAGTTGTCATTCTCTGTTTCCTGGGATGCTGACTAGCCAGGAGAAAAGGTTCACTTTGCTGCCCGGGAAGGCTAGCGTATGGCTAGTACCTTACCTACAAACCATTTCACCTATTCAAAAGTATTTAACCTCCTCGGCGGTATGATTATTTCAGATTTTTGGTGCTGAAAGCGATACATTTTTTTGCATGGAAATATGTAGTTTTTTTATTGTAGGCTGTAATATTTAGGAATAACTCTCTGAAATCTGTCCGAACAAGAGTCTAGTAAACATCCCGGGGATGATAAAATTTGAAACACGAAATCATAAATTATAATTTAATAATCATAAATAATATAATAATACATTTAATTCAATAATATAATAAAACCAAAAACACTGAAATTTGAAATATAGCGCCAAGTTCGCACATCGCTGAGCAAAGTCGCAGAAATCGTTTTCAGTGTCTGATGATGAATTTCCCCCACAAATCATTATCACTCAATTCTGCAAGTGGTTCTGATTTACTATCGCTGTTCTCTAGCCGGTCTAAAACCGCTTTTGACCTAAAGGGACACTTTTTGGACGCCAT